GTGCATATCATGTGACTGAGTGTAGATCATATGAATATATCATGGCTTAAAACCCAGAATTTGAATTTCATGGGCCATGCTAAAATTCAATAAAGCAACATTTGAATGCAAGGGGAAAAGAGCAACATGTGGCTTGAATTTTCCTTAAAATACACAGGGGAGAGTTAAGGGGGGAAAGTGCTTGGGACAGAGTAGATCTGGAATTTTGCCAAACTCAAACCATTTAAACAATGGTTTAAGATTGAATTCAAATCCCAAGCAGATCTCTTCAATCTCCCCCAAAGGGTATAAGGTAGCATTTCAGCTTTGAAAGATAAAGTTAATGAAAATACTTTCAATAAGCAGAATGAGAATGCTGGACATGAAGAAACTGTTTTGCCCTCTGGAATTCAAGGATTTCCTACCTCCATTTGGACCCCCACTCTGCCTTTTCACCTACAAAGAGATTATCACTGGCTTTTGAGACCTTTTTTTTTTTTTTTTTAATTTCTCAGTTTCAATACAAACTCTACCCTGCCCCCTCTCCCCCATACAGAATCACGTGCACACAGTCTGATGAGCACCAATACCATTTAAAGCCCTCGCCACATCATCCAAATCCTGAGTTTGCTTCTAAAATATCCGTGTGCACATTTCATAGTCAGGTACAGTGAAGAATGAAAATTGTTATCCAATGGAGGAGCCAAATCCCATCACAACTTATAATGATCTCTATAATTTTGTGCATATCAGAAATGGCAATTTTGTTGGTGCATGGCATTTAAGGGGATTAATGGCTTTGGTGATCCATGTTTCTTCTCCTAAGGCATTCTGCTTCCATACTCTTCCGGAGTATGTCTATAGTAGTGCCAATAGTGCCAAGCAGGCAAATGTCACCTGTGAGTCCCAGGGGAGGTGCTGATCAGCCTTCCAAACCCTGCAATACAAAGATGCTTGGAGTTCAGCGGTGCCACTTCCAGCTAACTGGCTCTGATTCCTCTGGATGCAAACAGCCCCCCCTCCCTGGCTGGACTGATGCCAGTCTACTTAAGGAGATAATTGACCACAAGCCAGCCTGACTGACAGCCTTCCTAAATGCCAGATGCCAACTGTGCTGGCCCTAGCCTTTGCAGGAGGGCCTGTTCTCCCAGGAACCAGAGCTAAAATAGCTTCGCCCTCCCTCTGCCCTTAGCTTTTGTTTCAGCTTCCCAAGGAAATATAATCAGATAGATTATTCCAAGACAGCTACACTAAAACCTTCCTCCCTCCTCCTGGCATCTCCCTATCTTTCTTGGGGTTCTGTGCACTCAGTGAAGTGGGATACAGGCTAAGCAACTAGTAAGTAGCTTTTTCTATCATCCTGGAAACCACCAGCATAATGCCATGGTATCTCCACCAGCACTTAGCATACCCTGAGTGATTTTATTGACCTTTGTGAACTGAGATGGTTATACATACAAAAGTGTCTTTACTTCCATCTCCCTTAGGTCTAGAACTAAATTTCCCTCTGCCTCAACCTATAGCTAGAGAGAGAATACCTGAGAGGTCAGATGTGATCACATAACTCAGTTGAGAGGGTTACCAAAATATCACCATCAGTTTATTCTTATTAGCTTTAGCGGTTCTCTCTATACTTAGATTATTACCAGAGCTATACATGTTTAACGGTTCGATCCCTCTTTAAACATTTACAATAAGTGCTGAATCTGGCTCAGGGTCTGTGAGTGAGTGTTTTTGGCACATGGATATGAAGATCTGATTCTGGTGGAGCAGTGAGCCGGGACCTGGGGACTTCCCAGTCCTGGCACCTCAGAGGTTTGCTCAGACTAATCCTGCCAACTCCCAGCTCGGAGTTGTGGGAACGATAATCTTACAGTGAGACTGCAGACCCCATCTTAGTTGGGGGGTGGGGGTCTTCAAGGCTTTAATTGGGACCTCTGTTGGGATCAGAGCTTTAACAGACCCCCCCTCCCCCGTGTTTAGTGTTTATTTACAAGAATCCCGTGCTCTCCAGTCTGAATGCCACGCTTAGCTTAGCTTCCTTTGAGTACTGGCATCTCCCCCTGGAAGAAAACTTGAATGGAATGATTTCTAAGCTCATGTTGCCTTCTAGTCTCCTTTCTCTCCTCCCTTACAGTAAAAACAAAACAACCATGTTTCCTCACAGAGGTAGAAGGGGTGCCACGGGGGTGTGCGATGTGCGGGGTGGGGTTGGGTGCCAAGAGGGTTCAGGGAAACAGCGAGGGTCCATTATTCATCCTTCTCTGAGGCCCGGCCCACAGGCTCCCTCCCCCCTCCTCAGGAGGGGCGGTCACTTAGGCCAGCTCCCCCTTCTTGCTCTTCTCTCTCCTCCTCCCCCAACATCATTTGGAGCCTCACCCTTTCCAGAGGAACCGTGGGCATCTCTATAAAGTTCACTGGACCTTGCAGGCAGGTGGGGAAGGGAGGGTGCTCTTTGGAAGAAACTCCCAGAATTCAGGACTCTCAGCCTCTGAACTTCGGACCCCTGCCTCGGGCTTCCAGGCACCAACTCACCCAGAGACAAAGAAGCCAGATTCCCCAAGTCTCCCCAAGTCTGTGACCCTCATGTCAGCATCTGCTCTTTTTCTTTTTGTCCCTCAATCACATCAAACTAGTGAAGAGAAAAACCTAGCAGTCTCAAACTAACAGGATGGGAGGCGCTAGAATTGTGCGAGCCCGAAAGGAGGCCTTGGCCAGACCTTGGAGTCGCTGCAAGGGATGTAGTAAATCAGGGATCATTGCCGTGCACAAGTCATCTTGTGGGCCCTTTGCTTTCTTCTGAGGAAAGTTAGAGGAGGCTTCCTTGGGGCTGGCTGGGCCGAGGGAAGCTGGTTCTGGTTGGAGCCCTGCTCCTGGGTGAAGGGCAGAGGCCCGACTGCAATTCCCTGGCGGGATCCCCGCACCACCGGTCTGGCCACCTTGCCAGCTCCCCACCCAGCTCCACAGTCGCTGCAGCCTGCAAGGTCCTGTGGGGGAGCACTCCGCCTCCCAGGGAGCCCCCCAGCTGCTAAGGCCAAAGCCCAGCTGGGCCTGGGCGCAGCCTGCGATCAACAGGTCCCAGGCCTTGGTGGCAGTGGCGGCCAGGTTCCTCATTAAAAGTCAGCTGCCGAGGTGGTGACAGCATCCTGGCGCCGACCTCCGGGTCTGACCAGCTCTGCAGATTTCAGGGGGCGCCACCGGGTACCCACCACATGGAACCGAGTCTCCAGTTTGCCCTCAAGGACCTCAAAAAAGGGAATGGGGTTTTGGGTGGTGGTGATGGTGTATTGATGTGAGCCTCATGTAGGAACAACAAAATCTCTGTTCCCGTGTGTGTGTGTGTGTGTGTGTGTGTGTGTGTGTGTGTGTGGTGTCTAACTCCGATCTGGCCCCTCAGGAGGCCTTGAGCTCAGCTAGGACACCAGCATGGTCAGTGAGAACGGGTAGCAGGGGAGGTAAATGCACCGCTAGTAAAAGCAGGAGCCGAGCAAGGTGTCCCTGCTGGTGGCTGGCCTGAGACCTCAGCCCTCTGAAACTCTGATGTTAAGAAATAACGGGGCAGGGGAGGGTTGGTCAAGTCCTCTATCTGCGAAGGAGGCACCCAAACCGCGTGGCCTGGTGCCTGGAGAAGCGAAACAGCATCACGCAGGCACTGGCAACACCCAGAGAGAAGCTTTAATGGAGAACACCGCGTACAAACACAGGCAGACATGAACGTGTCACAAAGTCACAACCCTAACGCGGCGATGACACAATCCAGAGGTGACAGAGAGGCAGAGAGCTGCTGCCTCCTCCCTACCAGCCCCCCACCCCCCTTCGTTCCCCAAAGTTTGTTGCAAGTAAAGTGCTATTGCTGGGACTCAACAAGAGGGGAGGGGCAGCAGTGGGGACCCAAGTTTCTCTCCCACTCATCACAAGGACAGCAGCGTGCACAGGGGACCAGGTCGCCAAGACCACTGTGAGCCCTAAGAGCAAAACTTAGGGGGGACGAGGCAGGTGTTTCTTGCACTGGTGAGTTAGGGGAACAACATCTCGTGGTGATGCAAGGAATTTTTTTTTTCTCTTTAACATCCCTGTGGAACTTGAGATCGTGAGAATGCACATTATTTTGGGGCTCCTTAATGATTTCATCCGACGAACACACAAACGAATTGCAGGTAGAAAGTCGCCTTAGATGGTCTCTTTGGTGTGTTTCCCCCAGAACTTTACATTTGGAATCCTGGGCTTTGCTCTGTAAGCCGCCGCCACTATCCTCTTTTGTGCAAACTAATTGCTTTAGCTGTTCCCCCACCCTTCTCAACCCCGGGTCAGAGCCAAGACACAGAACTGTTTCCCAAGGTCCTCCATGGTGTCCCCACTGCCTCCTAAAGCGGCTTTAGTCACAATATCGTTTCCTTGCCGCTTTCCCTGACCAGGGAAATAATGGCATCGAACGCTTCTTCTCTTCCTTCTTAAATAAATCGAGATGTCCTTCGTGAACAGCAGTTTTGTCCAGAACGCCCCAAGCCCCAAGAGCGGCAGCTGCCCTGCAGGAGACCAGAGGGGAGGAACTCGGTGGCTGCGGTCTGTCCCAGCTTCACTCTCTGTTGCATGTATCCGGGGCGATGTTTACACCTCACAGCTTCTGGTCCCACACAAACAAGAATCGAAAAGAATCCATTTCCAATTTACCTGCCAAAGGAGGATTCCCCAAACGCCTTCATTTCCCTCCCTCTCCCGCCCCCATAACTTATTGATTTATAATATTAATTACAATAGAAACTCTTACCTGAAAATTGGCTTTCATGAACCTGATTGTACAACATAGTATTACACACTGACACCAGAAGCATTACATTGACGCGGACCACTGGCGAACCCACATTCGGATTTGTTCGTTTTTGTTTAAATACCTTTCCCTGTCCCGCCAACGCTGGGGATCAGCCGGGCCTGGCCGGGGCGCCCTCTCCCCCTCCCGCGGTCGGTCGGGGACCAGCGGTTTGTTCTGTCTTCATCTCGTCCCTCTCGGCTTGCCGGGCGCCTTAGGAGTGCACCAGCACCGAGTGCAGGGAGCCACCCTTGCCCTCGGCCGCACTGGGGGCGGCGGGCTCCAGCAGAGAGGCTGCAGGAGAGGCCGAGGCCACCGGGCACACGGTGGCGGCCGGAGCCGGCGCCTGCTGGGCGGCCGCGGGGACGGCGAGCGCGGGCGGCAGCGCGGCCACGGGCGGCAGCGCCAGGGTGGGCTTGATGGGCACCGGCACGGCAGGCAGGCTCTGGCTAGCCGAATGGCACAGGGCCTTGACCGGCACCCCGAAAGCCCCGTACTCCGGGCCTACGGGTACCCCCGCGGCTGCGGCGGCTGCGGCGGCCGCGGCCACCGAATCCATGACCCCGACGTGCGGCCACACGGAGCTGACGACGTTGCCCAGCTGGCCCGGCACGGGGTACCCCAGGTGGTGCATGACCGAGGCCAGGGGCAGCCCGCCGGCCTGCAGCACGCCCTTGTAGTCCCGGCCGATGATGTTCTCGATGGCGAACGGGTGCTTGAAGCCCGACGTGGACGCGGCGGCGGCGGCTGCGGCGGCGGCGGCGGCCGAGCCCAGCCCGTAGGGCGGGAACTGGGACAGGCGCCCCACGCTGCCCACCGCGGCCGCCGCCGCCGCCGCCGCCGCCGCCGCCACGGCCGCCGCCTCCTGCTGCATCTTGCCGGGCTGCGACGACGGCTGCTGAGGCTGGGACTGCTGAGACGACGGCTGCTGGGGCGGCTGCGAAGGGAGGTGAGGCGGCGGCGGCGGCTGCGGAGCCGGGGGCTGCTGGTGGAAATAATGCACCATGTGCGGCGGGGGCGGCTGGGGCGGGGGGTGGTGGTGGTGGTGGTGGTGATGGTGGGCGGCAGCGTGATGGTGGTGGTGGTGGTGGTGCGGGTGGTGGGAGGGATGCGGGTGCAGGTGCCCTCCTCCGGGCCCGGCGCCCGGCGGCGCGCTCTTGGCGCTGCCCGCGTGCAGGTGAGCGTGGTCGGCGCGCAGCACCTTGAAGCGCTTGCGGCGCCGCAGGAAGCTGCCGTTCTCGAACATGTCGCCGCAGTCGGGGTGCAGCGCCCAGAAGCTGCCCTTGCCCGGCTGGTCGGGCCGCCGCGGGATCTTGATGAAGCAGTCGTTGAAGGAGAGGTTGTGGCGCAGGCTGTTCTGCCAGCGCTGCGTGTGCTCGCGGTAGTAGGGGAAGCGCTCCATGATGAACTTGTAGATGTCGCTCAGCGGCAGCATCTTCTCGGCCGAGTGCTGGATGGCCATGGCGGTCAGCGAGATGTACGAGTAGGGCGGCTTCTGGTCGCTGTACGAGCTCTTCCCCGGCCGAGGCATCGCCGGCCCTGGCGCCTCCACCGCCCGCTGGCTCCTCCGCAGCAGCAGCCCGCTCCCGGGGCCCGGCTGGCTCCACTCCTCCTCCCCCTCCTCCTCCTCCCTACGCTCGCCACTCCACCCTCCTCTTCCCTCCTAAGACCCTCCTGCCGGGTATCTCCCGCCTCCTCCCAGCTGCCTGGGATTGCCGCGCTCGGCCTCTTCGGCCAACTTAGCTCGCGATGCTCACAACTTCGGGCCCCGACGGCCGCCGCCGCCGCCGACCCGAGCGCACAGCCGCGGGCGGGGCGCGCCAGCCTCACCGCCCCCCTCGCGGCGTCTTCCCTTCGGACGGCCGGAGACCGAGCTCGGGAGTCGGCGTTGGAAGAGTGGGGAGGAGCCGTGTTCTCTTCCGGTCTCCTTGCCTTTTTTCTCGGTCCGAGGGAAGCGCAGGCCAAGCGGGCTGGGAGGAAGGACTGAACCTGCAGGAGGACCCTGGCCCTTTCAATCCGAAATGGCACTCGCTGTCCCGGAGGCGGGGAAAGGCGGCTGCTCCCTGACCCACCGCTCCGTCCACCCTGGAGGTCTGTTCTCCTGAGTCGGAGAAGCAAGGTAAGGAGACGGGAGCCCGGCTTCCTGGCAGCCTACGTCTGGCACCTTTTTTTTTTTTCTCCAGCAGCTCGCGGCGGAGCGGGGGACAGAGCTGTGTAGGCGGTCGCTTGCGGGGTGGAGGGAAAAGTTTGGTGGCTTCTGCAGGCGCAGAGCGTGCAGGCTTGGAGGAGGGGCGGGGGCGCGGGGCGCGCACCGCGGGCTGGAGCGGGTGTCTGCGAAGGTCGGGGGGATGCGAGACGCCCAGAGGCCCGCTCCGTGGTCCGCCGCAGCTGCCACCGCTGCTGCTCTCCCGGACGGGTCTGGAGCTGGAGAGGCGGCGGCGGCGGCTGTGGCTGCGATGCACTCTCCCGGCTGCGTTTTGTAACGGTCCCCGAGACGCCGAGACCCCCGCAGCTCACGCTTCGAGATCATCACATGACCGAGGCTGAGGGACTGACTCCGCGCCGCCGCCGCCGCCGCCGCGTCTCTCGCAGGAGAAGGGGCAAGAAGGCGCCGTGCCTCGCCCCCGCCCCTTCCCCTCCGTCCAGGTTTGGGCGCCTCCACCCTCCGCACGCACCACCCGCTCGCAGAACCCGGCCGCCGCTGAGTGGTTGGAGGGGGTACGGGGGGGGGGGGGCGCAGGCTGTTGGCTGGGAGGGGTGCAGCCCCGGGTTTGGTCCCCGCTGCCATACCCCACCCAGGCCGCGACGCTAGACAGAGAGGGGGCACTGGACCCTGCTTTCCCTCTTCTCTCCTGAATCTCCAGCCTCTCCCCATCCTTTCACCCATCCCACCTACCAGCTCTGATTCTCTCTCCTTATATTACCTTTCTCCTCGACCAGCCATTCTGGGCCAAGTTCGTAGAATCATGACCTCAAAGCCTATCTCCACTGCAAAAATAAAAATTAAAACTTAAATAAAAATAAATCCCAATGCCTGGGAGGGTTGGAGGGGAAAATTTATAGGGAGGAGAACCAGGGACAGCTTCATCAAATGCTAACTTCATCACAACTTTATGGTGCACCAACTGTATACCAGGCCCATGGATGGCGCCAGGTCCAAGGAGGCGCGATACAACTCTCTGCGCGCCAGGACCGCGGGGCAGAGCGGGAGTGGACAGTCACCAGGAAATTGGTGTAGATTTAAGGGATTGGTGGATGGAGGCTCCACGGAGCTTCTCCAGAGCGGGTGGACCAAACAGGGCGAGGCATTTCTTTGGAATGGTGACATCTGACCTGAGCTGGGGCAGCAGGAGGAGTTGGGATTACTGAGATCCCATCACCTGGGTGTTCTTGGAACCAAGTCTTTGCCATTCTTAGAACATGGAGGGAAGGGAGGTAATTAAAATCAAATGGGAGGTCAAAACGATCCATCCACGGGGCCTGGCATGACCTGTGAAGGAAAGGTGGATCCCGGTGCTTGCTGAGGTCCGGGAAGCAGGTTCCTGCTCCGCACTAAGCCCAAGTTATATTCTGATTTTGGCTGCCGATACCCTTGGGCTGGGGTGAAGAGCAGAGTGTAGGAGGGGAAAAACACACACCCTCTTCCAGTCTGTGGGCCTCAGTTTCATTATTTGTAAAATGAGATGTCTGGAGTTGGACATTTCATGGGCCCCCTCCAGTTCTGCCAGTGGAGGAGAATACATGTATTAGGGACTGTGGCTCGCTCTGTTTTTCATTTCTTCTTTTCCATGTCTAAATCTGAAAGCAGAAGGCGGTTGGCCCAGACTGCTTGGGAGATTGCCTCTTACCCTCCAACCTTGGCGACACCAGGTCCGTGTTTTCAGCTTAGAGCTTTGGCTGAGCTGCCCCAGGGAAGGACCGCGAGCCGCACTGTCTGCCCATCAGGTTGTAGGGGTGCAGTGAGCGGGGCAGGTGCGTAATTTTCATCTTTAGTCAGGAACTAGCTTTCGATCTAGTGCTCTTAGGCCAGCAGCCGCGTTAAAAGAGGTAAAGACAGTTTAAGCAAAGTGTGCAAGAGGGTCCCGGGGGAACAGAGCAGCCTCTTGACTTGCCCTAAGCGAAGGAGACCCTTTCAGAGTTGGATGCTTTTGCTGGCACTCCAGACAGGGGCCATTCCTTCAGCCAATGGAGTGTTTTTGGATTTTTTTTTTTTTTTTTGTAATTTCTGATCCGCAGAGGCAATTTCAGGAGCTGAGCAGTAGCCAGCCTCCCGGCCTCACGATGCTATGGAGGAATTCCCAAGATGCCTACAGAGACAGAACAGCCCTGTCCAAGCTGAGCAGCGGGTAAGGGCAGTTTACCAAAGTATCTTCTCTGCGGGCTTCCGGAGAAGCAACGCCTCCTCCTTAGGAGGTCTCAGGTACATTCCCGTCCCAGGTACATTCCCATCTCAGGTACATTCCCATCTCAGGTAGGATCCCATCGGGCAAGTGGACCCGTAGGTGTCTGGGGACACAGCGAGAGAAGGACCCTTCAAAGGCGCCTGGGGTGAGCCTAACGCTCACCACCTGAGCACTAGAAAGCCGTAAACTGTAAACCGAGCGCTCACTGGTGAGCTTATTACACCTACAGACCCGGCCGCCACCACCTCGGCCTGGGCTCCTGGGGACGTGCGAGCCGCGTGGCCAGCCTTTGGGGTCTCGAGGAGCCACCGCACAACTCGGATCCCAAAGAGAACCGTGAGGATAGAGCGCAGTGCCCAATCCTCATGCTCCTGCGTTCCGTTCCGGGTGCTCCTCAACCCTGACACCCCAACCCGCCCGGCGGGGTCCAAGTTGCGGAGGAGAGCGCCCAACCCGAAGGGCGGACGCCTGTCCCTTTTGGAGACGGGCGGGCCCCCAGGGCGCATTCTGGGGGCATCCCGGCGGCGTGGCACAGGGCGGCGCGCTCGTCCCCTCTTCCCTCCTCCTTTCAAGGCTGATTTAATTCCGGCAAGTTTTGCAGGCGTGCAGCAGCCCCAGCGGGGGCGGGTGTGTGCGCGCCCCAGCTGCCTACAGACCGCAGTTCAAGGAAAACAGATCGTGTAACCTCCCTGGCACCGACCAGTCGGTTTCAGGTTTCGGCGTGTAATTTAAACACACACACACACACACACACACACACACACACACACACACACACACACCACTACGCTATCCAAATATTGGCTGGCGCGGAGGATGTTGGCAGGCAAATCATTGCCCCGGGCTCAGTATAATTATCTCAGGCGTATTTGGTTTACCCCTAGGCAATTGTTGGCGACGCTCTGCCAGGAAGAGAGGTACCGTGCAAAGTTTTATTGCGTTTCATTAGCTCTATGGAGGGGAGTAAAATTTTGTCAGGAAAAGATGTGGAACTTTAGGAGAGGCTATTTATTCATTTCCTCTCCTCTATCCTCCCAGCCCTTCCCTGGAAGGTCCCACGCAACTGCTCAGCCGGGATCCAGGCCTGATAGTCCCAGAGCCTCCGCGAAAGGAGGAGCGCTGGTTTCTGCCGGACCTGGAACGTCCTTCAGGGCTAGGAAGAAGGTAAAGGTTCCTGTGCACATCTCAATTTTCATGGGTCCTCCCTCTCTTTACCCACTGAGCTCTGATGCGCGGGTTAATTACATCTGGGACTCTCCCAGGCGTTTTCACCGCCGCCGTCCCATCCAGCCAGTCGCCTGACTGGGAACCGACTCTTCCACCCACACTTTCTCCAGACCCAGCCCCTATGCCGAAACCTCCTGGGATCTGGACAGGAGGTTTCTAGCCTTTGCCCAGGCGTCACCGACTGGATGACCCCTGGAAGTGTTGTTTCCTTGCTCTGTACTTGATTTTCTTCCCCGGAAACATGCAGGAGACATAACTGCGCCTCCCAAGTCCCCGCGCTCCAAAGAGGTTGTGGTCTGAACGGGACGATGTGTCCGGGCCCTGGGCTCGCTCGGTGCAGGGAACTCCGGTCCCGTGCAGCCCGGGCTGCTGTGGGGCAGCGGCGCCGCCTGCCAGCTCTCACAGAGTCCGGGGAACCGTGGTCTCTAGTGTCGCCTCCAGGCCCATCGTCCGGGCGAAGTGCACCCCCCCCTCCCCGCCCGCGTTGGCCACCGGTCCATACGCCATGCCTCGCCCAACCAGCAGGCACGGGGACACAGGTGTTCGCTCCGGTCCTGTTTGTATTTGTTCACAGAGGCCTAATGTGCCTTTCCGGAATTTCTTCGACTCCCCACGGATGGATGGAAGGCAGAAGCGAGAACGCTGAGTCGGGCGTGTATTTTTTTCTGAGAGAGAGAGAGAGAGAGAGAGAGAGAGAGAGAGAGAGGCAGGCACTGGCCTTGAATTTATTAGATAAGAGTCGAGACACAGTTTTGCCACCTACTACTGGCTGCATGACTGCCTCCTGTCTGGGCCTCAGTTTCTTATTCTGTGAAATGGCCATAACATTGTTAGCTTACATTGTGATTAGGAGGAGTGAGAGATAATTTCTTTTTAATCTAGCAAACCTTTATTGTGTCTA